ATGATTGTACTTTCAAATGGTAAAGAATGGTATGCAGTTGGAAAGAAAATGAGAAGCAAAACGCTTGATGTACGTCAAATTAAATACACGGTATGTGCATGATGTTATGGATTTGATCCTGTAAATACCCAAATACTACTGCAAGAAAGGGGACGAAATCTATAATTTATTTCCTTCATGTTAATCATGATCATTAGAACAATCTCCAAAATTGATTATAGCAAATTAATAATAGGAATCTAATCACCTTGGAAGCGATCTTGGACTGGCTTTCCATGGGCTTGGTGGCCTGCATTTGCACGTAAAGCAGCTCGCCGCCGCCCCCCTTGCGGTAGTCCTCCTCGTCCGCGAACTCCACGCCGACTGCCGCCCCGACCGCCGCCGTCTCATCGTGCTTCTCGGTCGCCACGCACCTCACCTTCGGTCCGCCCACGCGTCGGCTCCAGCCCGCCCGCCGCCACCTCTCCGCCTCCGCCTTCCGCGCCTTACCTCCGCCAACCGCCCCGCGCCGCAGCCCACGGCAGCCGAGCGGCGCGGAGATCGTCGCGCCCGAGAGGCCCATCGCGCTGCCCCTCCTCGGGCTCTCACTCTCACTCTCACTATCTCTTCTCCTGGTGCGGCTCTCTTGCTTCGAATTGCGCGGTGATTGGTCGGCGGCGGCGGCGGCGAGGAGAGACTGGCAGAGAGGAGTTGGCCGCTGCTGCTGTGCCGTTGTGGAGGGAGAGGAGCGGCCAGGCGTATCCCCGGTATGTCACGTGGCGGTCTTGGATTGGCCCAGGGCCCACGCGGCGTGGATATGGTTTTCGCTTTTTCCAGGAGGGCGCCGAGGGCGTGAGTCTCCGCCTCTCCGGCTGCGCTGCCAGTCCCGCGTGTCAGTGACGTGGTGCTTTCCAGTATTGGGCTCGGCTGTGATTTGGGTCGGATGCTTTTGAATTGGCTCCGAGCATTTATTGGGCCGGAATGTCTTCGCTACTTAAAAAGAGAAAGAAAAGAAAAAAGTAATTTTAAACCTCTTAACTTTTGCGGTAGTATGATTTCCCCCCTTATTTGTTAAACCGAAATTTTAATGTCCTCTATTTTAAATCGTTTGTTTTTAGCCCTGAGTGTTTTTGGTTGGTAGTTTTGTATGACGAGATATGGTTTATGATAGAGGCGTCTTTAGGGAAAAAAAAAAGGTGTCTCTAAAAACCGTTTTCTTTAGCAGTGATGGGTAACTAATTAGTCCAAATCTCAAACTTAAAATGCATCGTTCGTTCAAACTATGAATGTGTTCCTGAGTCCATGTGAACCACCATGTTATTGTGAATGTGTATTTTTTGTGAGTCTTCCATATGTGCTATCAAAAAGAAATTGCTCTCCTATCTGGCCACTCTACCAAAAAAAACATGTGTTGAAGGGGAGAGGGAGCTGATGGGCGCTCGTGCCAGCCGAGGCAGCTACGGTTGGGGTGGCGCCTGGCAACATGACGATGGTGTTGAGCGGGGACGTTGGAGCAGCACGAGCACATGAGCTCCACCAAACTAAGTGTTGTTGAGTGGCATTTAAGGAAAACAAAATCTAATACTTCATCCGTTCCAAAATAAATGCACATCTCAAGGTTATTTGATCAAATATATAAAAAATGCTAATATTCATGATACCAAATAAATAGCATTAGATTAATCATATCATATATTTTTTGTATAGTAATTCTATTTTGATACAAAATGTTGATGCCATTTTCTTAAAATCTAGTTAAACTTGAAATTACCTGACTTCTCAAAGTGTGTTACCCAAAAAAAAGACTTCTCAAAATGTGAGATGTGCATTTATTATCTTAAAGTGTTTTTGAAAATTTGAATAATATTTCAAAATGTTGTCCTGGTTTTTTTATTTACAAAATGTTGAACCATGTGTGTCATTCTTGATATGCATAGCTTAATCAACATTTAAATTTACAATTTCAATATTATGAGCTTGCAATTATAATTTTTTGCACATGAAAAGATGAACATATAGACAGAGCTTCAAGAAAATATTGAGAAGCATTTTGAATTGATGAAAGACACGTAATTTGTAACACATAATGAAAATAATGGCAAGTATTAAAAGAAAGATCAGGGTAGAAACGAAAGGGTATGTGGGGTGGGGGTGGGAGTAGCCTTTCAGCTTTGTAGGCCGTGTAGCAATAAAAAAGGAAATTAAAAAGGGAAACAACAAAAAAAGAAGAAAAAAAATGCATGGCTCCTATGGGCTGCTGTACCTTCGTTAGTGGGCTGGGCCATGTGCAAGGTTTTGCTGGGCTATTCGATGTTACAGGCTTACAGCTACTTCCGACCTAGTGAGAGACATAGGAAATCTCCTTGAGCACTTGTGAAACTTTAGGAGAGAAAAATTGGTGGAGACATTCCTAAGAGCATCTCCAAGAGTCTTCGTAAAGTTCACTCTCTAAAGCATCATTTGGAGAACCATTTACATAAAATAGTTTCTATATCTCTCCGCTCTCCAACAGTTTTTCTAAATCTTGCGTGTACTCTAGGGAGTTATTCTTGTTTTGTATCTTTGGATAGCGAGAAATCCATAATAGAATACGGCTATATTTGGATAACCAAATAAAGAAGTAGTTGGATTTTTTTTCATCAAAATCTCTGTTCCTAGAAATTAAGAAGAATATAAAGAGTCTCTTGGAGTTGCTCTAATGAGGCAATCATGGGTATCTGCTACCGGGATACACAACACTATGTCATGAGGAAAACATCCAATGCATTATATTATTATTATGGATTGCTCCTCCTAAATTTATGCAGCAATCTTATAAATTGGATGTTTGTACATGGACATGTTCGTCAATCTGTGACAGGTGCCCACAACTTATGCCCATTAAGAACCGTCTCCGCTATTTTTTTTTCCCAAACTTCACAGCCCTCCCTACTATATATTGTTTAATATTAACCAATGGAAATAAATTCGTAGCTTAATTTTCAAAAATGATATTCTTCCAAGCCACTTTTCGTTGGGATTTTTAAGAGTAAAATCTGAAAATAAAAAACAGAAACAAATGTGAAGCCACAAGCAAGAACAACAAATTTATGGGAGTCAAAGGAAGTTTAAAATTTGTTCCTTCCAATTCTCCTTACACCAGTCATTGCCTGCATTTAAACTTTGAGGGTTGTTTGATGATAGAATAGTCTATATCACCACAAGTTTTTTCATATATATTTGAAAAATTTCGTGACAACCATTTTGTGCTTGAAAGTCTGGAGCACCCGTTTCAGGATACACCAAATCGACACAAATTTGAAACACACAGACGTGAATGGCATAAGAGTCGAACGTTTTGTGTATGGTGACTTGAAATCAGAAGCTTCCCAGATCCAGGCCGCTATAAATAAATAAAGGAGGTTTGCTTCTTTCGATTCGAAACAGCCTGCCTAGAGAAGAACGCTGCCATGACAATGACATGCCCGGTTGCCTGCCTGCGCGAGCTTTTCCTCGCGTTTTCAGTGGCGCGGCGGCACGGTGACACATGCACGCAGCGAGATCACCCTCGGGAGCGGCGCCGGCGGCCATGAAAGGCGCGTGCGCAACGTCGCCCGGGGCCCGGGGCCGGCGGCCGCGAAAGACGCGCTTGTAGCCGTAGCCGCGAAAGACGCCGCTTTGTCGCTAGGTCCGCTTTTCACACAAGTGCGCCGGGTCATCACTTCGTCAGAGAAAGAGAGGGAGAGCGCGACGACTGGACGCTGCCGCTACTCGATCCCGGTCTCATCTGACCCTTGCCTTGTGGCTTCGACACCGCGGCGGTTACCACAAAACCTGGTGCCGTGCAACTGAGTCAACTGCTGACGTCAATAATTACTAAGAACCTAAATATTAATTACTACTATATTTACACGTAAGTGAACCAAAAATAAACCGCTGTATACAGTACTCCTGCGCTGAAACGAAAGAAAAGCAGATAAAGGCTACTATGTCGAACGGCAGCATACTACTACCACAGCCCACAGGAACTAAACTCTGGGTGATCACGTGGTTCAAAACCGTGGAAAAAGACGTCCCGTTTCCATTCCATGTGGGAGTTCAACGACAGACGACAGTCGACAGCAAGTGTTGCGATCGCAGCTGCCACTGCTGGGGAATAAACACTATCTTATGGCCTCCATCCGGTCCATTTGCTGCGCGGACACGCCTGTCTGTCACTGTACCAGAGTACATGAGATTGAGAGGCCTGCGCGACATTTGGCATCTAGATTCTAGACCGCCGGTGGAAACAAGATATATAGAGTCAGAGCCATGTTACTATGATACTTAATAAAGAGCGGTGAACAACTTAAATAATCGTCAAATTGCCATGTCAAACAAAACCTGTACATGGTTTTGTGGCCCACTGTATTGTGTGCAATCACGCATGCATGATGACACACCCATATATCTGCAGGTCTCCACAACTCCAACAAATCTTTTGTCCTGTCTCCAGAAACACCGAAACTTTTCCAAAAGCAAACAATATTTCGTAGAAAATTTCCACGTCATGCAACCACCACCCACCTCCTCCACGCCGAGTAGCAGCACTGTACATAAATCGCACACACCCAAGTTTTGAACCCAAACAATCCATTGCAGAGAGACGCGGACCATCCATCATCCCATCTGTAATTCTGTATCTACAGTGCAGACCACCAAAAAAAAAAAAGAACAAGGGATCAAGAGACACTGACCTCTGCTTTTCGTGTGGGGCTCTGCTCTCTGATGCTTTTCTCCTCCGCGCCCTTCTCACATGCATGCGACAACGAATCAAATCTTAATCGCAATTGTCTGTTTTTTTATCTGTCTCGCACCAATTCTTCTCCACCTTCTCTTCCTTTGACCATTGCACGAGTTGACATATATACCCACCCCATGGGGCCGCCGCCCTCGCCTCAACCTCAACCCGGCACGCGCACGGGCTCTGTTTCTTTGCCCGCTGGGCCTGCCCACGGGGAATCATCGCAGAGCACTCGCCCAACTCATGGCGGATTGACGGGATGGAGGGAGGCGAGGGTGGAGCAGGACCTGCTGGCCTGAGATTCCTTCTCCAGTTCGATCCGGCAAACCCCGGCCTCGACCGCACGCTGCTCGGCTTCTCGCTCTCCGCGCTCTTCAGCCGCCTTCTTGGATGGAGTAAGGACGGCCAGCGGAGAGGAGGAGGAGGATCCATGGCGATCGCGGCGGATGGTGGGGACGACTCCGTAAACGCCGCCGTGTCCGCCGCCGCGCTTGCCGCTGCCGTTTCCCTCTGCCTTGCGGCGATGTATGCGTCTGATCAGCGGCCTCGCCGCAGCCGGCTACCGGCGGCCGCTCTGCCTCCTCCGACTTCAGGTGCGCGATTCGAGCAATCCGTTTTGCGCTTTGTCCGCGTTTTAGATTTGACGCTGGCTTTGATTATGTTCCCTGTGGATTTTTCTTGCAGCTCCGCGGCCTCGTGCTCTTCGTGCTCTTCGTGATGGGCTCAGGATTCTGTCGTCAAACCCAGACGTGAGTTCTCGATCCCATCAGATTGGTGATGCCGACTTCACAAAGAAACTTTTGGACTAGCTAGAGCCATGACTGATATGATCTTCAAATTCCAGGATGAATATCCGGACAACGTGATTCACGGCGCGTCGATCGGCGCCGGAGACGACGATGAGCCGGATATTGTCGCGCGAGTGGAGATGGAGGCTATGCCGGCCCCAGTAGTCGCCGTAGCAAATGCGGACGACGAAACTGAGACAGAGCCGGACCATCCGGAGGGCGAAGAAGAAGAAGAACGGCGGGAGCTCCAGCGGCTGAGGGAGCTGTGGCTGTCGCTGCTGGAGCGGGAGCAGAGGCTGGAGCTCCGTCTGCAGGAGCTCGAGGGCCTCCGGTCTCAGGAGGCCGAGGCCACCGTGCGGGAGCTCGAGAGCCGCGTCGCGACCGCCGACACGGAGACGCGGCTCTTGCAGGTCAAGGTCTCCACGCTGCAGGAGGACAACGGGAGGCTCAGGGCGCAGGTGGAGGAGCTCGACGCCGCCCGCGCCGAGCTGGCGCGCGCCAGGGAGAAGCTGCGCGCGGTCAAGGCGCGGGTGCAGGGCGAGCAGGAGGAGGCGGCGGCGCTCCGGGCGAGGGTGGCGGAGCTCGAGAGCAGCGGCGAGGAGAGGGCCGCCGCGCTGGCGGCGGAGGTCGCGGAGCTGCGGAAGGCGAACGCCGCGCTGGAGGAGGACAACATGGAGCTCGCCCTCCGGCTGCAGGACGCGGAGCAGGCTGCGTCCGCCTCGGTTAATCTGGTTCCTGAGGTAATTGCTGTCTTAGTTAATTCCTGTCTTCAGTATAATCTAGTTTTACATATTACCTTGTGTTTGTGTGGTTATCAAATGTTATTTTTGGTAAAATTTTTTTTATTGGGTGCTATTTTAGCTTTAGCGTAACGTGGTAAACCGTTGAAGATGGTACCTTGCACGTTGGTTTACACCTTTTGAAAAATGATTACAAAATCAGCAAAATATAATAAGGAGTAATGAAAAGTAGTTCGGTCCACGAGGTTCATATGGATGGTTGGAAATTCCTATTCTGTGCAGTCAGGAATAATTGCGACTAGGCATGTTTTATGTGATTTGCAACTGTGCTTTTGCAAGTGCAATGCCTTTTGTCATTCCCTTGTGTTGGGAATAAATAAAAGTCCAAAAAAAGCAGAGGCTGGAATTTGTGCTGAGTTTTATTGAATTACGTAATTCCTATTTTACTTCTTATTAATTATAAGTTTAGTATTATTATTGAATCATTAGGTTTAGTAGCTCATCATATCACGTCATTAAAGAGCTGAAGATGGTAACCTTACACGTCGTTTCTCAGCTTTTTATGAATACGAATATGAAATGATAAAAATCTAGCGCTAATTGGATCGAAATTTTCCTTTATCTCGATGACGGCACATAAGTCCCGTTCGCTGGTCTGAAACTGGCTGGTTTTGTGAGAGAAAAACACTGTTTGGCTGATTTTTATGAACAGTAAAATAAGTGGCAACCAGCCGGCTGGTCTGATTATTTCAGACAAGCGAACACAGCGATAGTTTTCTTGCTAGAACATGGGGTAATCAAATCAAACTAATATTCTTCCATTCAGGAATAGTGCCAACGAGATTTGCAACTATGTTGGCGAAATGCCGTTTGCCATTCCCTCTTGTTGGGAATAAAGGTCGCCAAAAAGCATAGACTAGAATTTGTGCCAAATTTACCATGTCACTGTCACAGCTTTATTTTGACTTAGGGGTGCCTTCCCAAACTAGATTTATCATGTTCGCTTGTTGGTTTTAACCAGCCCAAACCAATCAGCCAACAGTGTTTTTCTCTCACAACAACCAACACCATCCAAATTTAAACCAGCCCAGAAACCAACCAACGAACATGCCGATTAGCTCATCCCGGGTTTGTTATTCCAAAGCCAAAGTCATGCTTAGATCCTTCTAAAGATGAGTTTTTTTTTCGTGACCGTACCTGAGTTATTGGGTGTTCTGTTGACACGATGAATTAAATGGTTTATTCATGCTGCGGTGTCACGATGGTACAGGACAGCAACGTCTGATCACCTTCATTAAAAAAGAGCGTTTGATCACCTTCTGTTCTTTGAAGTATTTTTTTTAATGCATGGATAATGTATGAACTTAGTCATCTTCACCATTTTTTCAAAAAAGTTTATTAACCAATCTACCTTATTTCTGCTTCATCATATATCACTGTGTCTTGTACTACTAGTATACTGAACATGATAGGGTCATAAGCTTCATCCACCTTATTGAATAGTCGTTTCAGACCTTTGAAAACCCTCAAAAGCCAAAGGAAGGGAATAGTTCTTCCACATCTCTTTTTATATCTTCACATCTCCTTCAGCAACAATTACCCACACATTCCCTTCCTTCATGCGAATTTTGAAATTACGCATACAATTTTTTTGACCTGATCGTATGTAGCCACAACCACAACAGATTTCGGGCTTTCAGCTAGCACTCCAAGTCCAAAGCAGGACAAGTGTTTTAAAAGAAGAAAGATGCCTGTGTAGTAAAGCAACTTACCGTAGTAGCAGAGGTAGTTGCTAACTCGATACAAGTTCAAAATCAGAATCTCTCTGTTTCTTATAGTTGGAAATACCGTGAGCATGACTATGCTTTCCAGAAATGGTGTCTGTCAAAAGCTTATCAGTAATTTTAAGCTTTGATCCATTGGTAGTACCGTAGTAGCAGTAACAATTCTGAGCTGTTTCACCATGCTTTGTGAGGCAAGTACATGAGATGCCACTGATCGATTATAGTTACAAATTTTTGGTACAGAACCTTTTTGGTACAAGAGGCAAGCAGACGTGCAATATATATACTGAATTGACCTTTTTGGCAAGCAGATGCAGGAGGGCATGGTTGAGGAGATGACGTATCTGAGGGAGAGCAACGAGAGGCTGACGAGGCAGATCGAGCAGGTGCGCAACGACCACTGCGCGCACGTCGAGGAGCTCGTCTACCTCAAGTGGGTCAACACCTGCCTCCGCCATGAGCTCCTCCGTGACCATGATGGCGCCCACCCCACAGCCGAGCAACAGGGCCACGGCGCTGACAGCCGCCGCGTCGGCTCCAGAGACGACCTGTCATCGGCCCTGGAGCTGAGCAGGAGCATGAGCTTCCGGTCCAGCGAGAGGGCCAAGCAGCTCATGCTGAGGTACGGTCACCCCGGCCTCGACGGCTTCGACCCCGCCCTCTTCTCCCCACTGCACGAGTCCGTCGACGGCGACAGCTACGAGCGATCGCCAGCGAGCAACTACGAGCCTCAGCGGAGCCCTTGTGCTAGGTCCGGGACGGGGACGGCGATGGCCGCCTCGCCCGCTGTTGCTGCAGCACCGGGGAAGAAAGCCGGGCCGCGCAAGCTCAAGCTTCTCGGTAACATCAAGAAGCTGCTGCCAGGCGGCAAGAGAAGCCACTCATCAAGCCACGTGCACGGGCACGGGCATGACCACGGCGGCCGCGATGGCAGGAAGGCGCCGGCTCCGAGGGACGAGTACCTCGAGAAGGCCATGCAGTGGCTGTCGACCCACGACGTGCTCGACGGCGACCACTCGTACGAGAGCACGCCACTGTCGTCGTGTGAGAGGACGCCGCTGAGCAGCGTGACGACAAACACAACAGTGGACTCACGCGCCCGCCACGGCGGTGGTGGTGGCGGACACAGCGAGCGTGGGGAGACGGCGCGGCCGGAGGCGGAGCCGATCTTGGCAAGGTCGAAGAGCGACGCCGGCGGAGCATACGGGCGGGAGGGGAGCAGGTACCACGCGCTCAGACCTGACCACCCGGCCAGCGAGGCGGACGAGCCCGACGGGTTCCGTGCGCCGGAGAAGCGGGAGGGGAGGAGGCGATCGGATGAGCTGAGGAGTCCGGCAGTGGCGTAGTACTTGATGCCCAATTACAGCTAACGGATTAACAGGAAGGACTGTTATGCAGTATGCACAAGGCTTTTATTTTTTTGTGAATATTTGTACTCGTGTTGCAGTTTGTACTCATGTATGGTTAGGGGCAGATCTAGGCATCTAGCGTAGGACGGATGGGGCTTGAGCCCTCCCCTACTGCCTCTAAAACAATGAAGCCCTACTTGAAACCCCTCTATAATTTTTTAGGAAGAAGGAAGAAGAATAATGGGGAGAAAGGGAGGGAAGGAGGAGTCCCTGATAGGTTCATGATCTGCTTCCTGTATGGTTGAATGATGATATCAAAGTTTTCTGGATAAGCTTTTATCCCATTTTCCATGTCTTTTCGTTTGATTCCCTTTGTTCTATCATCAAACTTCTGACAAACCCTGGAAATCTAAGAGATTCACGAGGCGATGGCAAAAGCAACGACACCCCTCGAAGTAGAGAATGGCGGCTTGGTTACCGATGATGGGATGGCGCAACAAAGACGATTTCTAATCTTTTGATAAGAGTGCCAACATGGAAAGAACCTTAAACCTACTAGCAATCGAAGAACAGTTAAGGACACAATGAACAAGAAAACAATTGACGGATCAAGACAACATGGCCAAAATCTAACACATGAGATGGGGTCCTAAATTGAGTAGTGCTAAGGAGGAGTCCGGCAATGGCGTAGTACTTGATGCCCAATTTCAGTTAACGGATTAACAGGAAGCGGATTGTTATGCAGTATGCACAAGGCTGTTTTTTTGTGAATATTTGTACTCATGTTCCAGTTTGTACTCATGTATCTATACACCTAAAAAATAATTACTGTTATCGTCTGCGCCCTCGCCTCCGCCCCGCGCGTGAAAACCGCATCGTCCGGTCAAAATATCTTGTCAGAATCCAAGTCCAAAACGATGTTCAACGTCAAAAAAGCAAAACGCCAACGCTCAAGTCCTAAACGACGTACACACGCTACTTGAAATGGGCCGGATGGAGTTTGGGCCGTAAGTTTGCATATTATATAATTTTATATCTTCTTATCCATAAAAAATTGCATTATTCTGAACAACAATAAAAAAGATAGGCTCCTGAAATTCAATGACTCAACATTTTTCTAAGTGCTTCTCTTGTTATGTTGAAATTTCTTACTCTCGTTGCAACACACAGATATAGATCTAGGATTATTATCATCTCGCTGTAGGTATGGGCAAAAAATCATGGCCTTTTTCCGCTCTGTTTGACTCCTTGTTTTCCGAATTCTCTCCGGTTCCATGCCTTCCGGGAACTGTCACGCCTCACCTACAGGCTCTCGGGAGCGGCAGCATCGGATTGGTGTACCGCGCCAAGCTCCCCTGCAGGTGCGAGGTGGCCAGCAAGCAGGCAGAGCGCAGCGGCATTGGTGGCCGTCGGCGGTGTCACTTCGACGCAGAGCGCGCTCTGCGCGGAGCTTCTGCTGATGTCACGCGTGAACCACAACCTGCTGCAACTGCTGGGCTTCTGCGACAAGCGCATCCTGGTATTCGAGTTTATACTATCCACGGCGCGCTCCACGACCACCTACATGGCTACATGGCAGCAGCCGCGACGGCTCGTCGTCGTGCCCCTCTTCAACGCGCACTGCATGGCCACGTGGACGTGACGACATGTGATGTCATTATGACATCACAGTGACTGTTTTCCCATATAAAATAATTGAAGAAATACGATCGTATATGTACACGTACGCACATCCATAATAAAAAAAAATAAACACCAATTGATACTCTTATGGCCCCGTGGCATATATCTAGTGGTCAGAAACCAATCTAGTGGTAGGACGGATGACGCTTGAGCCCTTCTCTACCGTCTCTCAAACAATGAAGCCCTCCTTGAACCCTCTCCATAATTTTTTAGGAAGAATGAAGAAGAATGGAGAGAATGAGAGAAGGAAGAAATAAAGGAGTCATGCTAGGTTCATGCTCTACGTCCGCACCATGTATGGTTGAATGATGATGATATCAAAGTTTTCTGGGATAAGCCTTTATCTCATTTTCTATGTTCTTTGGTTTGATTCCCTTTGTTTTATCATCAAACTTTTGACAAATCCTAGAAATGTAAGAGTTCATGAGGCAATGGCGAAGTCATCTAAACCCCTCGAAGTAGAGAACGGCGGCTTGGTTACTGATGATGGGATGACGCAGCAAAAGTTAATTCTGATCTTTCGATAAGAATGTCAACATGGGAAGAACCTTAAACCTACTTGCAATTGAAGAACAATTAAGGACACGATGAACAAGAAAACAATTTGCAGATCAAGACAATAGAGCCAAAATCTAATACACAAGATGGGGTCCAAAATTGAGTAAAATGGGTGCTCTAAGAGACTAAAATCAGCTTCAACATTGTTTTTTTTAGGATGGTAGCAAAGAGAGAGAAAATGATAGGGTGGGTGCAATATGCTTCGGCGGTACTACTAACTAGCACATGCTACCAATAGGTGCTGGAGTTTGCACCTAGTGCATGCAATCTCTTTTTGTTTTGTATTCACGAGCTCCCAATTGCACAAAGGTGGAGAGAGAAAGCATTTTTTCTTGGAAGGACTCAACTTGCTAAGCAACACATTGGAGTGTTTTGTCTCACCTAACATCCAGGTGAAGTGTCCAGCTTCAGAAAATTTGTGATGAGTATACACTGCAGCTACTCTAATCGAGTTAAGCAATTATATGCATGTAGCTAAAACTAAATTTTATCTAAACAGAACACAACCTCAAAGTAATAGATACGGGCGATATCTATACGTAGGGCAACATCGGGATTGGAGAAACCCTATTTAGGACACACCTCTAATTAAAGATGAGCAAACGGGATGCCCGGCCCGACCCGGCACAGGCCCGTGCCAGGCACGGCCCGACAGGGCATGGCACGGAAGGGCCCGCTGGGACGCCGGGCCATGCCGCAATAGTCCTTCGTGCCTGGCCAACGGCCCAGGCACGGCCCTCCGGGCCGTTTTTCGTGCCGGGCTGGCCAAAAAGCATGGGCCCAATAGCACACCAGGCCGGCCCGAGGCCCACAGATGCCATACACAGACACAGAGAGGGAGGAGAGGGGAGGCCGAGATGGCAGGAGGGCTCGACGCCGATCCGGAGGAGGCGTGGAGGAGCCCGGCGCGCTCGCCCCAAGCAGCTCGACACCGGATCCGGAGGAGCCGCTTGAGGCCGGCCACCGCGCTCGATGACGCGGGGGAGGAGCCGTCGCCGAGATCTGGGGAGCGCCGTCGCCCGCCACTGAAGCTTCACCGCTGGCACCGCCGGTTGCTCGGCTTTCCCGGTGGCTTCCTGCGGGGGATGGCAGCGCAAGTATGGGAGACGCGTGCGGACTGCGGCGGCTGGAGGAAGGGTGCGGCCGCGTGCAGGAACGCGGGGCGGAGAAGCTAGACCGCGACGCGAGAGCGACCGGGGCGGCAGGCGGGGGGCGGGACGGCGCGCTGCAGAGAGAGCTGAGCAGGTGGCTGGAGACGGGATTCGATACGGGGGATTTGGGGAAAAATTAGTTAGGGCTATAAATGGAGCGGGTCTTCACCGTGCCGTGCCGCCCACCGTGCTTGAGCAGCGGCCCAAGCAGGGCCCGGCGCATCGGGCTGTGACGGCCCAGGCCTGTACAACAGCGGGCTGTGCCGTGCTTGGGCAGGGCCAAAAAACGTGCTTCGGGCCGGGCCACCGGGCTGCGGGCTGCATGCTCATCTTTACCTCTAATGGGCTCTACTTGATGCAATGCCCAAGGGCCTAGTTTTAAGGTCTACCATTGCAGTATCAACTACAAGTTTGAAAGATGTCTAGTTGATTATGAGTAGCTTTCATGGAACTTGATGATGATGTTGGAACTATCTAAAAAGTAGATGAACAAATCTTTCCAATAAGTATTCATTAGCCTTCGTTATCATCCAGAGTCAAGAGTTAAGGCGGGTTCAAGATGGTACTGTATGGTGGTCTGAATATTGTGTTTCCTTTTGGTTCAAACATGTTTGTCCGATCATGTGGTAGGAGCATCCTTTTGGTTTCTTCTCCCTCATTCCTAACAGCAATAATATCACTGTAAAACTTTATCTGCATCCAAACTTGAGGGGAACATCCATGGACATCTAGGAACGAGTTTACCTAATACTCCCTCCATCTCAAATTGTAAGTCATTCCAAGAATCTTGGAGAGTCAAACTATCTCAAGTTTGACCGAATTTGTATGATAAAATAATAACATTTAGGATGTCAACCAAGTATCATTAGATTCTTTATTAACTATATTTTCATAGTATATCTATTTGATATCACGAATCTTTGTAATTTTCTCTATAACTCTGGTCAAACTTGAGATTGCTTTGACTCTCCAAAATTCTTGGAATGACTTACAATTTGGGATGGAGGGAGTAATTAAGTTGATGACCTCAACCTCTATAGTTATTCGTCCTTGTTGTGTAATTGTTGCAGTCGTGTTAATGGAAGGGATGTTCTTATGGGGGTGTGAGGGTTGGCAATTAAGATGTTCTCTCTATTGATAAGCCTAGAAGTACCTTCGAGGAGACGATCGGATTGGTTGTGTAATAAGGTGTTGGTAACTGATGGACAATAGGGAGACCATAACAATGGATCAAATCAGGAGCAGATCTACGTAGAATTTAGGGGGGGTGGGCTCACCCAAAAAAGGAAAAAAAACAGTGATTATAATCAAATTATAACTATATACGCACCTATACGGTAAAGATTTATGCATACATAAGGAATATATACCCTCTCTTATATGTTTTAGCTCCGCCCCTGGATCGAATAGGGCTGAGAGAAAGCAATGCCGGTGACGTCAGTGGTGGTGGAGACGCCACCAAGAACAGCTAGCATCCAGCGGTAAATGGGCTAGGGTGCTGAAGAGGTTAATAGGTTATGTATCTCTCATTGATACATCTAGTCTAATTATTCAATGATAGATGACTTACACGTTGACACTAACATGACTGGTGACTTCATCAAT